TTAAGAAATTTTGGTTAAGCATACTTTACAAAATTCTATAATTAAAAAAAAAACAAATATCTCAAATTTACCGTACAAATTCAGGAAGAATTCCGAATAATCAACAAGAAATTTTTGATACTTTATTGAAGATGAGGAAGAAATTTATTCAGAACACAAGAATGTGAGTACAAAGTAATTCTTCACTGAAGATGTATCAAATATTTTATTTAATATATAAATAAGTGACTGGTTATGATAATATTTTTAATGTTTAGCCAGTAATGAGTATAAAATTGCTTATTTAGATGAGTCTAATATTTTTTTATTTTATTTATTCAGGAAGAAATTTATCTAGAACATAAAAACGTAAGTACTCAGTAATTCTTCACTAAAGATGTATTGAATATTTTATTTGATATATGAATAAGTGACTGGTGATGATAATATTTTTAATATTTAGCCAGTAACGAGTATGAAATTGCTTACTTAGATTCATTGAGTCTAATATTTTTTTATTTTATTTATTCAGAAGGAAGAAATTTATACCGAAGGTTCGAAAAAATCAAAACAAAAAAGAGAAGCTAAAGAAGAAATTAATTCTATTGATTACAGAAGACACGAAATGAAGGTTTTTTAAACAACCAAGAAGATTTACAAAAAGTTGAAGGGTTATTCAGATATTGATAAGAATGACTCTGACTCACAGTTTTTGTTCTCTGAATATTATCATGTCTTTGGCAAATCAAATCCTTTAAGCCAATATGATTGTTCTTGTGTTGGCCGTATTTTGAAACCAAAGAAGAAAATTCAGTTGAAGCATGTTAAAAAGGTTATTAAAGATGATCTTGAAGAAGGTGTCCAGGTGAAAAATGATATTAGATACGTTGCAGGAAATGCAGGAATCACTAGAGCAGCATTTAAATATTGTAAACGTAAATGTATTTTTATTTTAGAAGTTCTTAAAACAACTGATGATGTAATAGTTCTGTATAAACCAAAATTCAATAAAGCTTTAAATTTTTTGTTAAAATAAATTTTATTTAAAATATAAATTTAATGTTCTTTACAAACAGCCTTTCCTTTTTTTCTACGTTTTGTTGTCTCACTATCATTAGAAGATAATGAAGATATCGATATATCTGAATCATAATTTTCATCTGATTCTTCAATTACATAATCAATTTTGTTTTCTTTAAAACCTTTGAATCAAATTCTTTTTCTTTTAGTTCTACATAACCTGTTTTCTAATTTTTTTTTTACTTCCAGATATACAATCATATCAACATGTAAATCATTTTCAATTCTATGGTCTGTTAATTCAAATTTGTTAACTTGTGATTTAAAATCATAGTTGTAGTACTTGATTTCATTATATTCTTCAATTAAATTATCCTCTCCGACTATATAAGCAATCTGTTCGAGAGTCATATCTGAATTAAATTCTATTTCAAATCGAAGATTAATAAAATTTTCATATAAGCCCTTATGAAAAATTCTTTTTACTGAACAACAAATACATTCAAATGTACATGGACATGTATCATCATTTCTAAATTTTTTGTATTCGATAATATAATCGAACCGATTATAAATTGAAGAATATTTGTTTTTGTTTTCTATTTGAAAATTATCTCTACCAAAATACGGTGTATCTTTAAAATAGATATATTGATTTCGCAATGATATATTCGAAGTAAATATATTCACGAAAGAACAAAAATTTAGATAGCTGCCTTTTTTTGAACTATATGTGGCTTATTATCGATTAGTGTCAATAGCGTTGAGTACTCTATATTGTAATTGTAAAAATCATCGTATATGAAAACTTTGTTTTCATCATAACCTAATAAAAATAAATAAAATATTAGTCTATTTTTTTTTTAAAAACATTCTTAACTATATCATACCTTCAAACCACTGCTTATTATCGTGCGATTTATGATATGCATCTGAAAAAAGTATTTGTATCAAATAATCTTTTCCTGTTCTTGAGTCACTATAGATATAAATATTACAAGGAGTAAAATATCTTTTAAATGATTTTTTTTGACTATCTCGAATAGTATTGTAAAGTTCTTTGATTATATGTGGTGCAGTTCCCGAATTAACAAATACGTCTATAATGATTTCATTTATTGGTTTGATTTGTTTTTTGATGTCTTCAATTGTTTGTATATGTTTTTTTTTTGTTCTTTTAAATGTTGATTAAAACCTTCAGCGTTATTATTTGTTGGTAATTCTCCATATTCAAATGGTCCAGAATTATCATCAACACACGCGAACGTGTGAAATTTCAAGCAATTTTTATCACACTTGTTGCATATTTTTGTTAAATTAAAAAAATCATATTTATAGTAAGGATGATGTTTAGAACACCGATTGTAATCTTTCTTACAATATCTGATCATGTCTTCAAATATTCCATTATGATAATCCACATGCATTTCTTCATCTTGAAAAATACTTTTAATTGTCGAAGCATTTTTACTGTATTTATAATTTCCCAATCTCAATTGTGTCCATAGCATGCAAAATCCTTGTATGTGTTTTTTATTTGTTTTAGTATATTTGTATTGAAAAACAATATATCGAATAATTTTTCTGTTAACATTTTCGTTTATTAATTCTTTATATTTTTGTAAATTATCTGTATAAATCGTAAACATAAAATGAGTTAATATTGTTTTTCTTGAAATATTCGCCATTGTTTGAATTTCCTATTTTTGTTCATATATTTGTTTTGTGCTATACTCTTATATACTTTTTTAATAGCCGTAGTAAATTAAATGTTATTCTTAAAAAGGAAATTTAAATTTGTTTTTACATCACGTGTTGCAGCAATAATTTACTGCATATCAAAACAAAAATCTATATAAATACTCGCTCCCAAAATTAGTTTAGGAAAATGTTAAAAACAAATACATCTGCTTTCGAAAATATATATTATGAAAAATCTTGAAACTCGTAGGTATATCAAAAATTTAAAAACAAACAGCTTCACAAATATCGATTTCCTGGAGATCATGAAGATAAATCTGTTCTGAACCGTGCGATCGAATATAAAAAATATTATGAAGCAAAGATAAAAGACATATCAAACACCATTGATTACAAAAATACCAAAGCAAAACCAAAAAAACTAACAAACGACAAACTCAAAATTAATTTTATAGTTAACTAATTTAACAAGTAAGAAGAGGATCCCAACTCGTATATATGTCTGAAATATAATTTCGCTTGTTATACTAACTCTTATTTTACCCTCTTTATTTTATCCCTGAATGATGCTCTGTGTTTTTTCATTCTTCAGGTTTATTATTTTTATCAACAAAAATATCGAATTAGTCAAAGAAGTTTAAAGATTTCGAAATCTTGACCAATTGGAAAAAATACAAGAATCTTGAAAAACCAAAACTTAAACTAAACAAATATCGTCTCATAAAGATCAATTTCACAATTTACTTTGAAGTAAAACACAGAAACAAGGAATCACTTTTCTACTCAATAAGAAAAATTTTTATTTGCTTCAAAATTATATCTGGACATGTCTTAAAATTAGAAATACATATTATATTCGAACAACTAATAAAAAAAGAAAATTGATTCATCAATTGATTCATCCAGAATTTAAAATAATAGACCATATTAACAGGAATAGTCTTGATAATCATGATTGCAATCTTTGAGAAACAACTCATCAACAAAATATGTTAAATTGTCAATTACGAAGTCATAATAAATCTGGATATAATAAAATTTGTTATAATAAAATACTTAAAGCTTGGGGGTTTCAATATTATGAAAAGAATAAACAAAAAACCAAATGGTTTCGTATAACAAAAATGAGAACCTCTGAACAATTTAAGCAACAAGTGATAGATTTCAAACTAGCTCATGATAAGAAAACAGGCAACAAAAATGAGTATTCTGTAATTTTTTAGTTTATTTATATTTTATTGTTTTTCGATTATACTTTAAATTTTCAATAAATTATAATTGT